CTTCTCAATGCTTAGAGGAGTCTGATTTGAAGATTGAAAAAATTTGGCAGAGTTTCGCCTAGGGATGATCGACGGATAGCGAGGACTCTATGGGATGATCGACGGGCAGCGAGGACTGTATGGGAAGACAGTTATGGAACAACTACGAAACATGTTCTTGCTAGGGGAGCAAGGATCAAAATACTATTATGAAAAGTTTTAAACTTGGTTAAAGAATTTATATACAACAATTTATCAATAGTGAATAATTGATTGTTAGCAACAATAATCCTTAAATTAAATAAATAATCAGTTTAAATTTACCAAACGCTCAATTTTTATTCACAGTTGGGGAATGTGTACAAATTGTTTGAAAGAATATTCCTTTGTTAATGAATTGTTTGTTATTGTCCTAATGGTATTTCGCTTCGTGGGTGTCTTCTCCTGTTTCCTCTCCATTCCTGATCTGCGGTGTTTGGGATCCGTTAAATGGGCGGTGTCGTGGGTGCGAAGATCGGGCGAGAGYGAGAGGGGAACGGTGGGTAGGTAGTGAGGGRGTTTGGTATTCATTAGTCGGTTGTGACGYGGGGTTTGCGGGGGTGGTGGATGTGTTGGGTGTTAGATGCTTTTGGGGGTTGGCTAGGCTTTTAGGTGTGTGTTTTTGTCGCTGGTGCTTGTGAGGTGCTCACCTACTTTTGGATTTCAGCGAGGAGATGTGTGTGGGTGAAGAATCTGGCGTGGAGCGACTAAGTTATCATTCCTTGGTCTGGATGGGTGAGCGGGAGTAGATTTCCTCTAGGTTGGTTTCTTCTGGGCGTTGGCGCTATTTTCTCCTATCCGTTTTGGTGCGGGAGGTCAGTTGCTATTTTCAAGTAGACGATAAGGCTACGTTCGTCGGTGTTGTGAGACCAGACTTTGTCCGAAGCCGGTTCGAATTCGTGTTGATCGATCTTCTTCTACCACTGTCCTTATGCCTGTTTTGTGCCTATCCCTCCTTGGTGTTTCTGGTGCATCTTTCCTTTCTATGTTAGCCCTATGTGTAAAAAAGTGTCGTGACTGCTTCCTGAATAGGTTTCCTCCTATGTTAGCAATCAGCCGTGTTTGTGCCTCGTGGTTGCTTTTCCTCTCCTTTTGGGCGCTTCGATTTGTCTCCTCTTCTCGACTTCGCTTGTCCTCCCGTTGTCTCGTGGACGCGATGGGTCGGGGGAAGGGGTGTACGATCTCACCTTAGAAAGCCGCCAAAACACTCACTCCTTGTCGATCGTGATGATGGAGCAATGGATTGTTGTTCTGTTCCCTTCTGTCCACTCATTATGATTGTGTGCTTGCCTTGTATGAACGATCTGCTCCCCTTCGTTCGGTACGCTTCTCTCGCCTCTCTTTCCTTTCCCTTCCTCAGACTCTTTGTCTTTTCCTATTGTTAGGTTATCCCCGTTTCCCTTCTTCTCTGGTGGGTCCTTGCTTCTTCTTTCTCCCTTCTCTCCCTTTTCTTCTTTCTTTTGTCTTTGTCTGTCCCTTTCCGTCCTTAGTTGGGCCACGCCCGGAGGCGTGGCGCGACGTGGCTTCACACTCTCTCCCTTCGCTCCTTGCCTTCCTTGCAAATCCACAGAGGTGGAGATGCGCGCAACCGCGCACGCGACGTTTCCCGCGAGTAGGGAAACCCGCGCCGGCGCCGAGGCGCGAATTAGCGCTGTGGTACGGCCCTCACCGGTACGGCGCTCACGCGACTCCCTTTCAGTTACAGTAGCTGTTTGCTTGATCAGACATTTAAAATGTGATCATGACAGTCAACTGCAATTCTCACCTACAAAGTACAGAAATAGTTCAAATAGGGAAGTAGAGCTACATAATTCTCTGAGTTGCTTGCCTACCTGTCCACCTATATTAAGCCTAAATTGATTGGTAGTATACACGGACCCAGTAGGCCGTGACTGCATCTGATTCAGGGCAATATTTTATTCTGACTAAGAGCGTCTGATTTTTTTTATTTTTTTATTTTTATTTTAAAGACATTGCATGATTTCTTATTGGCTTCTGATTTGACAAATACCAAAAAAAAAAAGGAAAAATCTGTGGCCGGGGTTGACATTCTGTGTGGTCTGCGGCTGCGCAGGTTTGACTTGACTGTTGACTTTTCTGGGACCAGGTAAGACCCAGCAGCCCGGGCCCTGTAATATGCACGGGGAAACAATTCTTAGCCCTTGGATTTTGGATTTGTGTGTGATCTGTGACACTGTGGTTTAACTTTTTTTGTCTAGGAATGTTCGTCTCCTGGTCTGCTGCCCGGGTACAGCGTCACTGTTGAAACTTGACAGGCCCTTTTGTAATGAACCTGGTTGTTTGCTGTCAGAAGACCAACACTCGCTCACATAGACTTCCGGGTATGCCCATACATACACAGAAGGAAGGGGAGAGGATGGGAGTATCACACCGCACAGGGAGAGAGAAACACAGCGGAAGACTTGACCATGCGATATGACAGAAAACACTGAAAGTGCAATTCCCTCCACAGAATCCTCACAACCAGTCACAAAGGAAAGCCGAGTAGATCTCCCTGTAAACATCTCAAACACACTTTTCATGCATGTAAACAGCAACGCAGCATACTGGCGACATGCGGCCACTCAAAACTCAGAGATATGGCTTTCAGATACGAGTTCACTCTCAATTGGCTATGGCGACTTCAGCGCCCAAACATCTCCCTGTTCACAATACACTGGATCACCCTGGATATCCCACACGCATCACTCTGAACACTCGACACACACACACACACACTCTACTAACTACAGCTATGGCAGCTGTCGCTGCATCTACCCTATCGCTATGCTAACTCCCTCTCTCTAGCCCACTGCGTCCTCCGGGCTCATCTGCAGACCTCCTTGCACAAGTCGCTGTGGCAGCGCTTCCGCATGGCTCACGCAGGAATGAATGAATGGCTGGGCGCTGCCTCTTGATTTATACTTCAGAAACTCGTTGGTCTGCCCTTTGCCATCGGCCCATGGTGCTTACAGTCCCCCTGTGGTACTTGCTGGACCGGACTGGGACTGACTGGACCTTCCGCTGACTGACTGTGGACTCGCCGCCATCCTACCGACGTTGTACTGCTGTTGCACTGCGGTTTAGTCCACCACTTGCCTCGCCACTTGCCCACTTGCCCACTTGCCTATCTTCTAGAAGGTCTACAGCTAAGTTTCCAGAACTCACTAAGACTCCTACGCTATAGACCTACAGATCGAACCCCTGCTGCCTATGGACCTACGACAGACCTACCAACTGTCTGCGAATACACAGGTCACAGGTTCAATTCTCGGGATCTATACAGATACTGTACATAGGTAGGGTGAGGTCTAGGGATCGAACCCTGGGTACTGCATCCGCTACTTCTAAAAGGTGAAAACCGTTTCACTCCCACCGTCCTAAATTCGAGGTCCTTCGCGAACATTTCAGTCCAAGGCGGGACTTTTACCTTTCTTGTCACGTTCATAGGCTCTGACTATGTCGGGAGCGGTTTCTAGAAGTTCTGTTTTCGTGAACCAGAGGTCGTCTTCCGGCTCCTGGTAGGCAAACCGGACCTTATACTGTTTCTGGGGACGACCTCTACCTCCTGTCCTAAACACATCCTCTTCTACAATGCCCTCTATGTCATAGCTCCCATCCATATCYGGTGGGATCATGGATCTCCTGGAAGGGWACTRTTGACTAGTGACACACGGCAGCAGCTTTGAAGCATGAAACACAGGGTATGTGTGGAGGTGTGCTGGAATCTCAATGCTGTAGGACGGTCCATCCTCTCTGCCCTTGACTTCTARAACCGGCCACGGTCCTCTATATGCAGGCAGTAACTTCTGCGAGATGTTTTCTTCCRGTGCAAACTCTTTTGCCTTGACCCAGACTAAGTCGCCTACTTGAAACTGTGATGGGCGTCGGTGCTTGTTAGCCTGCTCTATCATTCTGTGCTGGGCCTTCCGAAGGTTCTCAACAACAGTGGCTAACTCCTTTTTGTGATGTATCGCAAAGTCCCTGGTACCGGGCGGTAATCTGTGAATCTGATCCCGGTTCAGTCCTTCGAACGGTATGCGCGGTCTAAAGGACTTGTGCAATTCATTGGGAGTGCGGCAGGTGGATAGATGCACGCTATTGTTGTATGCACTAGCTACCTTAGGCAACATCTCATCCCAGTTAATCTGATCTGGTCTAATGTACATGCGCAAAACTTGTTGTAGGATCTTGTTCATCTGTTTTGTCTAACCGTTAGTCTCTGGGTGACGGCCAGACGATATTAACAACTTAGATCCGTAGACTCTCATGAGTTCTTGCCAGTTCTGGCTGGTGAAACGACTGTCTCTATCAATAACTATTGACAATGGGATTCCATTGTCACTAACCCAATAGTCAAAAAACTTCTGTATAACTAAATTTGTACGTGCCTCTGCAGGCAAAGGAACATAAACTGCATATTTGCTAAAGCGGTCAACTATGACCATAACTTGGCTCTTACCATGTCTACTCTTGACTTGGGTGTCCATGAAGTCTATGGACACGGAGTCTCCCGGCTGATCCGGAATAGGCAAGGGTCTGAGAAGACCTAGGGGCGCGCGTGTAGTAGACTTATTCCTCTGGCACACTTTTCAACTGCGGACATACTTTATGCAGTCATTCTTCATCCCTGGCCAGGTATACGCAAGCATCAGGTTGGATAATGTCTTTTGCCAACCGAAATGTCCTTCAGTATCGTGGCATTCCCCTAAGAGAAACTGCGAATCTCTTTGTTGTTGGGGACGCACAGGTGATCAAACACATTAGTCTTCTCAAACAGCAATCCGTCTGTAGTGCGGTAATCTGGTTCAGTCTCTGGGGCCTCTCTAACTCTCTTTAGGAGGTCGCTATAGATAGGGTCCTGCGCATATGCTTGCCTCACTTTCTCCTGCAGGTCTCTCCCTATATCCAGATAGTAGACTACGGCTCCAAAGTAGTCTGATCTCCTACTCAAAGCATCCGCAACTACGTTGTATTTGCCCTTCACTGGCTTGAGCTCAAAGTCGAATTGGTCTATCTCGGCGGCCCACCTGGTCAACTAAGGTGTCATCTTGGCCTGGGTCTTGAACCATCTAAGCGTTTCATGGTCCGAATAGACTTTGAAGTGCCTCCCAAGCAGGTAGTGTTTCCAATGGTCTAAAGCCTGCCTGAGAGCGTAGAGTTCTCTCTCGTACGTGGAGGTAGCGACCTTTTCACAGGGCATCCTCGCTGACATGAACTCTACGGGTCTATAACCATTGCCGTCGTCTTGCTGCAACACGGTGCCTATCCCATATTGACTTTCGTCCGTGGTAACGACAAATGGCAAGGACGGATCTGCTACTTTGAGGACAAAATATTCTATTAATGCGCGCTTTAACTTCTTGAGCGAGGACGTACAATTTTTATCCCATTGCCAGATTGCCTCTTTCTTTAGCAGTCTGCGCAAGGGGGCGGCGATAGTGGAGAAGTTCCTCACAAACTTTTTATAATAGTTAGCTAAGCCTAGAAACGACCGCAACTCTGTTAATGTGCGGGGCGTCGGCCAGTCTCTAATCGCCGCGATCTTGCTGTCCTCTGGCTTAACGCCATCTCCGTCCAATACGTGGCCCAAGTACAAGACTTGCATCTTGGCCCACTTGCACTTCTTCGCATTGATCTTGAAGTTAGCCTTTCTAAGCTTCTCCAAGACCTGCCTCAGATGACCCTGGTGCTCCTAGAGGGTCTTACTAAAGACTAGGATATCATTTAAGTAGACTACTACAAATTTATCTAACCATGGTCTAAACAGGTCATTCATACAACGCTGAAAAGTAGTTGGCGCGTTGGTTAGTCCAAAGGGCATCACTACAAACTCATAATGCCCATATCTAGTCCGGAATGCCGTCTTGTACTGATCATCAGGATGGACTTCTATCTAATGTTATCCGGACTTTAAGTCTATCTTAGAGAAATACTTACAACCCTGCACCCGATCTAAAAGATCGTCTATCCCGGGCAGCAGCTCAGCATTCTTCACGGTGATTGCATTCAAACCCCTATAGTCTATACACATTCTCAGCTCTCCTTCCTTCTTGGGGACAAACAAAACGGGTGCTCCAAAAGGAGACGAACTGGGCCTGATCCAACCTTTCTCTAGGAGCTCATCTAACTGCTTGCGAAGCTCCTCTAACTCCCTGGGGGACATTCTGTAGACTGCACCCTTAGGAGTTCTACTGTCAGGCTCTATCTCTATCCTGTGCTGGATGAGTCGCGACACTACTCCTGTCGGCAACTCAGTCAAATCTTTGAATTCTTCCAGCAACTTGGCTATGGTTGGATTTGTGGAACTTATCTCTTCCTTGCCCTCGGTGACAGGTCTAACATACACTACAAAGACGTGTTCCTCTAACTGCTCCTTTTTGACTAATCGCGCGAACGCGGGAGCACTTAGACAACAATGTGCCGAGGTGTTATCTACACCAGACACATGGAACAAGCGGGCAGTCTTAACCTCGCCTGACGGACTAGGGAGCCTACACTCATGCTCTCTCAAATGCATTGTGGCCCCTGCTGCCTCTCCCCAATCCATTCCTAACACTACATCGAAAGGAAGGTGATCCTGTACGAGGAGAGTCAGGGAATGGAGAACTTTCTCCACTTTTCCAGTCTTCTCTAGGCGAAAGTACGCCTGGACTCCCTCTACATAGTCCTCAACTCGCAACGTGCAGTTGTTTGCGAGGACACTTACTATGGGGTCTACTAGCTTCTGGACCTTTAGTCCTAGCCTCAGCTTCTTCAGCGCCCTACGGCTAATGTAACTACGGGTAGCCCCTGAGTCTATAAGGGCCCCTACCCTACTCCTAAACACCTCTACATCTACCAAAATCAGCTGTCCTTTACTCTCCTTCTTCAGTTTGGCCCAGGCTGGCATCCTCTCCTTTAACTCTTCTGTCACACCTGTGAGGGACGTGCCTAAAGAGACGCTAACACAAGCAGTCTCTGGACAACTATCTAGGCACGGGCCTGCAACCTCTGCCACAGGCTCATGTGGGTTGGGAGTGTCATCTTCGTGCGCGCTCATTTCTCCACATGGCCTGGAAGTAGGGGCAGTTGCGACCCCTACTGGCGGCTGCCTTTTGACTGCTGAGCAGCCCAACGGGCCTGTCTATACTTTGGACATAATTTAATTATGTGCGTTGGGTCACCGCAGAATACGCACTGACCCATGTTCACGCGTTCCTGCCATAATCGTTGGTCCAAGCCCAAGTCTTCCCAGGGCCTGCCCTATGGCAAGCCTGGGTGCCATCCTCCTTGAGGTGCCCTTCCACCTCCTCGCTGTGGGGACCGATTACCCTGACGATTTAACGGGGGACCTTGACCCCTACCTCCCGCTTGGCGGTTTCCCTGTCCGCCAACCCCCTGTGCGCCCGGTCCTTGGCCTCCTATGGCCTGGCCCCTTTGGCCCTGGCCTCCTCCTCTACCTTGCGGTCTCCCTCCGGCCGCGACAGTAGCGTAAGACCTCCCCTGCCCTACACTACTGTACTCCTCCCCTAGGCCCCACTCAATCTGGTTATATGGGACCTCTTCTGTACCACCCTCCTCTAATGTCAGGATCAAGTGATCCTTGGCCTTGACTTGGCCCGAGATGGTACGATCCTTCCACTTCTTCCCCTTCTCCAGGTCCTTATGCCAGAAAGTGGTAACTGGCATAGACTTCGACTCATACAGGACGACTTCTGACTCAATGCATCGTAAGTGATGCCGGCCTGCTGAGATTTGTCAAAGAAATGCCCGCGTAGGGCCTCTGGAATGGCACGATAAAACAACTGGACCAGCTGGGGCTCAGTGACCCCATGGTCCGGGACGGCTACCAAGTCGTCCATGGTACCCTTGAGTGCCTTGGCACTCCTCCATTGTCGTGAGTGGATCGTTTGGAGCTTGTCAGAGGCTCTTATGCCTCGCGTTGGGTCAGTGAAACGCTCCTTGAGGAGCTTGAGGAATTGGGAAAGAGGGGTGACTTTGGAATATGCAACCAGGTTGTTTTCACAACCGGCTGTACGCGCAAGAGACCTAGCGAAACTAGCCGCGTCATCTTTGAGGGCCTGAAAGGCCACGAGGACTTGTTCCTCAATCAGGATGTGCTGCAAGTAAATATAACTATTGACACTGGCTTCCCAGTTGTCAAAGTTTTCTTCCTTTTTTCCCCCGTACGCATCTGGGAACTTAAGTTTCACTGGGTCCTTACGGGGTCTGGCCTCTCCTTCTACAGCAGCTGCAGCTTTGGCACCCTGAATGACACCCTCACAAAACTTCCCTACATTGTCCCTCAACTGTTTGACTTCGCCCCCAATGTGGGTGACGATTTCGCGCGCAAAATCTCCGAAACCGGACCGCATGGCACTCAACGCTGCATCTTGGCTCCAGCTTGCCTGGCGCTCCTCCATCCAGGTCTTGCTCAACACCTCTAGATAGCCCAGTACCTTGTCCCACTTGGCCTTATCATCTGGCTGGGCCAGCACCTCCGCTCTACACTCCTGCACCTTTGCCACTGTTGCGGTCATCTTATTCACTTCCTCTCTCCTCCTCTTCTTCTCCCTCTTCATTCTCAGCTTCCATGCTAACTTTTGCTCGTCTTCCCTCTCTCTTCGTTCCATCGGGTCCGTCATGGTCGCTAGCTCAGCGGCCCGTGCAGCCTTCTCATCCTTAGTCACATATGACTCCGCCTCCTCGTCTTCCCCCAACGATAAATTAGCGACCCATTCGCTGATCTTCTTCTCCAGCTCAGTATCTGTCTCCCACTTCATCGTGCCACCACTGCTCCCTTCTCCACTCTCAATCCTCATTCTCTCTTTCTCTTCTTCTGCTGCCGCTTCTGCTTTAACAACTTTTCTTCTTTCTTCCTCCTCTTGTTGTACTCTCTTTATCTCCTCCTCCAACCTTGCCGCCTGCTCATCTGCGATAGCCTTTAGCTTCGCTTGCTTCTCACGTTCTTTCCTCTCCCTATTCTCTTGGACTAAGGCGGCCATCTTTTCTTGTTGCTCCTTACTAAAGGGGCTAGTCTCTAACCCACTAGGGGTCCCAACCATGGTGATAAGTGTACAATCGGGTTAGTGGTTCCAGACCTCACCACGTAGACTCTGACCCCTGACTGACAAACCTATAGACTCAATCTACGAACCCACAGAATCCTGACAAGGACCCTGTCAACTACGGTTTCTAGCCTAGACGTATGCTATGGCTGTCCCTACTGAACCAGTGGCTGATCATACGACATTTAAGGAGATCCCCCGTAACTCCTCAAGAATTTTTTAACGTCGCAGACAGAACGACGTGATCAGCTTGGTTCTGCCTGTGCTTTCAGCCCACAACTCAGCCTTTCCAGCCTACTGTGCCACACCGAGCAGCCCGCCGGTCTGTACCGGTCCTTGAGAGGGTTTGACCTCCGGGACTGTCGAGTCGTCAGACACAGATCATCAGCCTTACTTGGTCTGGTAGGGGAGTGGTTCAAACAGACCCTCAACACTTAAAGACTGCCTGGTGTGTCAGCCCCAACTGCCGTCCAGGCCCACTGAGTCCTACCAACCGTTTCCAGCCGGTCAGCACCGGTCCTTGGGAGGGTTATGCCCCCCTGGAAAGTTGGATCAGCCCCAGTCTTAGCCCTACAAGGTCAGGCTAGGGTTTCGTCATCCAAGCCCTATCCTTCATCCACAGAGTACTATGACCTCGGACAGAAGAGACTCAATGCAGAAAGAATAGACAGACAGACTGTACTCAGCAAGTACCAAGGGGTATGTGCACATCCATAGGGCAAGGGGTAGGCTAAGGGCTTGGCGAGATGTTACCAACTCCAGCTTGGTCAAAGTCTTGGTCAATGCCGGTCAACTCTGCGGTCAACCGTCGGTCAACCCCTGGTCAACTCTGGTAACGCCGGTCAACACCCCCGGTCAACCCTCTCGGTCAACTCCCCGGTCAGCTATGGCTGCCGGCTCTTCTTCCTCGCCAATCCCCTTCTTCTT